GAGCCCCCCCAGCATGGCGCCGCGGTGCACCTCGTCCATCGGGAGACGTTTTCGCTGACCACGTGGACGCGGGGGCCCGTCTGGCGATCCATGGGGCGGGCGAGAACCGTCGGCGGGATCGGGGGCCGCCGCGGCTCTCGTGCTCATCGGGGGGCGCTCGCCCTGCGCGCCCAGGCCAGCCGGGCGCCGGGGCGGGCGGGAGGCGCGCGAGCGCCGCGGAGGCCTCTCGCGCGGTGCCCGCGCCCCGGTGAGCTCGCAGGGGCCTCGGCCAGGGTCGCCGCCTGGCCGCCCCGCCTGCCTCCGGCGTGCGCAGCATGCATCCTGGGCGCTACATCAGCTGGGGCTGCTTCGGCTCCATCGAGGCGAGCGCGCGTCGTGGGCGCTTCTTGCTCGCTGCCTCTTGCACCAGGAAGGCGCAGAAGCGGCGCGCCGGCAAAGTGGGCGGGCCCCGGGGGGTCCACTGCGCGAGCGGGGGCGGCCTCTGCGCGGCCTCACTGGTGCCCGTCTCTCATAACCTGGTCGCATTGGTCTCCGTCGAGGGGAGTTGGGCGAATATACTGGATGATCCAGCGAACCAATGCCATCGGCCAGGCGCGCCGCTGGAGGGGCCGCTCGGCGCGCCGTCTGCCTGCCTCGGCATGGATTCCCCCCATCAATCCACGCGGCCAGGGCGCGTCGCTGGTGAAGCGGCAGGGCGCCTCGTAACCTTCCGCGCAGGAGCTGAGCCGCGCGGAGTGCATCTTGCGACGCAGCCGGGGGGGGGCACCGGCCTCGGGTCGACCGCGGCAGCGGCGACCGAGAGAGCTAGCAGGGGCTGGTACTCCACTGGCCTGGCTGGGCCCAGCCGTGGGGAGACGATGTCACGGCGCCCTATTTCGGTTGATTCCTGCGGGGCAGGCGTCACTGAAACGCCCGAGCCGGCGGGGGATGGGGGGCCCACGCGCCCCCGCGCACGAGCTGGGCGCGCATCCAGGCAGTAGGCCTTGGAATGATATCAGCTGTCTGCGGGCCCACCGCGGCGGGCACGGCGATCGTCGCGCTCAGGCGGGGGCCCTGGCCGCGAGGGTCGGTGGATCCCCTTGGGTGGAGACGGAGATCCGCGCTCCCGCTGGCACTGAGAATAAGGCGCATTCGCCTGGGTCGAGGCCGATCTCTACGCCCCGGGCGCCCATGCCGCCACCCGCCACGAGCGCTTCTGGCGGTCGCGCCGTCGACGCGAGCTCGCGCATGGCGTCGACGACGCGACTGCCGACCCAATCATCTGGCACCGGCGGGGGCTCGGTTTGCAAGGCGTTCGTTCCTCGCCCAGCCCCGGGAACGAGCCGAGCCCGAATGCGCAGCCGGCAGCCCGCCAGGCCAATCCTTCCACGGGCTGTCCGCAGCTCGACCCCGGCGATCTGGAGGACCTGCGGCTGCTCAGCTGCTCTCCTGGCGGCACTGACGCCGGGCAGAGCTACTGTCTCGAGATGGGCTTCCAGTGCCCTATTCAGGGAGGGGAGAGTCCGTTTCTGCCCGAAGGTTGGGGCGGCTGGGAAAATTCTGAAGACCTGGCTGTCGACGCGCATGTTGCCAGCCAATCCCAAGGCGTCGTGCATGGGCGTTTCCCTGCCCGGAATGGGGGTGACACATGTCCTGGTAGTCACTCGAGTGAGGATGCCGGGCGTGGACTGGGTGCGAGAAACCCGCCCGACGGTGGCCTCTATTGCCTCCGCGATGGACTGGGAATCTCCCTGTCTCGAAATGACCACATTCCGACGCCTGCGGCGTCCTTCTTCCGGGTATTCAAGAGAAGCTCGGCAGGGAATTCCGTGGGCATATGTTGGCCAGGGAGATCCTCCGTGGGACGACAGCGCGGGGTTGTCCGTGGTCAGCGATGGCCCGCGGCATCATCTCACTGAGGTGGCGTAGGACTGGCGCAGCGACGTGCGCTGAGGCGTTGAACAGCAGCAGTCCGTTGGCGGTAACTCCTATTCTATGTCCAAGCGCCGCTGCGGCTCTGGACGCGCAAGGGAATGCGAGTGGAAAGGCCCCTCCTCTCACGGGGATGCGCACGGACGCTGCAGTGTCGCTTTGGCGCCACGTGCTGGTGGGGATGCCTGCGCGGTCGAACTGCTGCGCTCGGGCATTCAATTGATCCCGGGCCCGGGCTGTGGCACTGGCTCGGGCTGGGTTGGCGGCATCAACGTGGTGGGCCTAGTGTTCGACGCCTGCCTGGAGGAAATCAGGGCTGCGCGGGAGAACTGCCAGTGGGTGATCGCGGCCACGACGTGGACGGTGGCAGCTTCAGCGGCGACTACGCACAAGGCATCACGGATGTCAGGTCTGCTAATGCCCCCGTGAACCAGCACTCCAGGAGCGCTCAAAGTTCTGGCGGGACGGGCAGTGACGTCTACCTGGAGGGCCAAGAGCTGGATCTGCCCAGGGGCCCCTTGACTGTGGGAGAAGGGGGCGCCCACGGCTGCTAGCCGCCGCGCACGGCCCGGCGCCCGTTGGCCCTATCTGCCGCGAGAGGATGCCATGAGGTTGACCAGGTCTGGCCCCCCGGGAGGTGGTCACCCTATCCGTGGCCACGGCGAGCAGGTGTGCACGGGAATCCGCGGAGCGAGGCGGCTCCAATGAGGCTGTCGATCTGGCTCGCATTGGCGCCCATCAGGAGGATGACCGGGGAGAGAGGGCGGCTGCCTTCCATGTCGTCGCAGGTCTGCCCATGGGCGTCCAGGATGGTGCGCAGATGTTCGAGCGCCACGGGTCCTGGGAACGTGAAAACCACGTCAGTTTGTGCAGCTTCAGGTATGCCGATGTAGGAGCTGGCCGCTACGACCAGAGCAGTTCCTACCTCCCTGGCGGCAGGAGCTACCATTCCAGCCGGGAAGCCGATGCTCTGGGACCTACGGTCGGCACTAGAGGGGTGCCGCGCGACTAGCCCCGCCCATCGATCTGGAGTGACGAGCGGGGTTTCTCTTGTTCGTTGGGCAGTGCTTGGCGGCCGTGGAGTGGGAGGAGGCCGAGACGGCGTGGCGGACCGCGGGGGGGGGGGGGCGGGGGGCGGTCCTGACTATGGTTCGAGACGCTGGTCCTTCTGGAGGCACCGGCCGATGCTGGGGTGGCCGCAGCCCGAGCTTGGCGCACGTGGCTAAGAACGGCAGCCTGGGGGGGATGGTCCCAGTCCCGACATGAGGATCCTGCCATCCTGCGAGGACCTGCTGGGGTCGCGGCCGTGGCCCGCGCGGCGGTCGACCCCCATCCCCAGCGACTCGGCGGCCGCCCTCAACTCAGAGATGGTGACCAGAGGGTCAAGGGGGTGGAGGCCTAGATGGGGTCGGAGTAGAGGGGGTCGGAGGATGGCGCCGCATCACCGATACATCGGCAATGTATCGGCGATGCACCAGCGATTCAAAATCGATCGGCGACGTCGACGTGAAGCACATCAGGCCCAACATCAAGCCGCATCGGCGATGCATCGGCGATGCGGCGCGATCCTCCGACCCATCTACTCCGACCCCATCTAGGAGGCCTAGAGGTGGAGGCAGGGAGGATAATTTCCCAGGGGGGACACCCGCTCGCCCGAGGGGATCGCCACCTCTCCCAGATTCTGGGGAAGTCTGGGGGGGGGGGACAGAGTCGAATATGGTGTCTCCGCGACCCTCTCCTCGGCAGATTGGGCAGATGTGTTGTCCTCTCCTCTGGTGGCTCCTGTCACTGACCAGGCAGTCGGTGTGGACCTGGTGGCCACAGGGAATTACGCGTGACATACAGCCGCCCGGGGCTCTCTGCAGATCGGACACACGTCACAGTTGGCGCACGGAGACGCAGCCGGGCCCGGAGGGGGTCTGGCGCTTCGCACGGCGTCAGCCAGGAAGGTGAGCAAGAGCTCGGCACTCCCGCGCGCGCATCGGAGGGATCGACTGCTATCCTTCCTGCGAGAAGCTGGATCGTGGCTCTGGTGGCCAGCTGGTCCAGCTGGTCGCAGGGTCGGTAGGATCGGTCAGGAACGCCGTTCCAGGCTCGGTGAGCGGCGCTGGACAGCAGGAACGGGGTGCTGATTGACGCCCTGTCGAGCCTCCGCGCAAGTATGGAAAACGGGGTGGTGTCAATGCATCGCACCACTAGCAGGGGGAGGAGCAGGGGGCGGCGGTGAGGCCGAATACAGATGGTTAGGGCTCGACCGAGCCATCCGGCCGAATCCTCCCTCGTGTTCCCGTCGTCCCCGAGAGAGTCGCATATGGCTTGTCCCTGCGCTCCGCTGACCGAGTTGTCAGGAGGCAGAGCAGCTGCGGGGGGGGGCACTGCCTCCTTCAGGGTCGCACACACACACACACACACACACACACACATGTATATATATATATATATATACACGATATAAAATGCTCGGGACCTGATGCGGCCCCGTCAGGCCTAGTGGGTGCTTTCGGGCTTGAGTAGAGCAGTGGAGGATGTGAAGGAGGGCAGAGGAGAGGAAATCAGAGCAGAGGGAAGAAAATGAATGCAGCTTGGACGCGCGTAGTCTGAGTAGAACAGATTGTCATCTCACGTGCAAGTTTTCATTACCGCATTCGCTGTCCTCAAACACCTGGTTGGAGTCAACGCTAGCATTTGATCATCTCTCCCAGCCCACGCAACAGCAGCCTGCACACAACTCGAACACCCGCCACCAGCCACCCACAAGCTTGCCTGTTGAAGGATTGCCACCAAAGCACAGCAGAGGGCAGACCCAGAACGTCCCATACCTTCAACAGCGCTTGAGTGGACTACGCTCCACATTGGGAGCAGTACCACAGAAATCCCGATGCCGAGATAGCCATCGCGCATGTGCTGTGAAGGCCCGCCTGCCTAAACACGGGATGCTATGCCAGGTGGCATCGTCAATAGCGAAGGCGAGGGAGGCGACGAGGAGGAAGAGGAGACAGTGTCAGAGCTTCCATGCTCCACTCCGCTGGGCGCACTGTACTGCGGCAATGAAATTCCAGAACGAGCACGACGTTTCAGACCCTCGAAGTTTACCTTACGCAGCGAATTCTGCTAGGGATTCGGGTCTGGTTCTTCCACCTCTGCTCCTTGCGGATGTCCTTCTCCCATTTGAAGCGGGTGTCGCGGAAGCCAACAGCTCTAGCTTTGTCCGGGTCACCTATGTACGAAAGGTCCCAACCATGCTCCTGGCAGAGCCGCTCAATACCCTCCTGGTCGAGTTTCTGCTCGTCGCCCAGGTCATGGCACAAACCGTACACAAGGTGCTGAGGATCCACCACTAAGCGTTTCACGTGCTTCTTGAGATCCAGCTCCCCATGCAGTTGAATTTCCTTGTAATCGAAGCCCTGTATGTGACGGGAATCCCCAATGCGATCACGGGAGTCCGCTGCAGTTGCTACACGATAGATCTCTCCAAGCTCTTCATCGCTGAACTCTAGAAGCACATGTGCACACATGTCTAATGTACCAACGTGCCCAAATTCAACACTTGGTTTGCCACTGTCCCGCGGTGTGAGAGTGCATCTGAATCTTGCCTGCTTGAGGATTGCATAAGACCTGCCGTAATCCTTTGCGGCAAGTACTCCCTCAGGATCGTTCATTATGTCGAGGACGCCGTACTTCGGCCTTTCGAACGGCAGGGCGTCCTTGTAGCACTCTCCGAACAGCTTCTCTTCCCACCCCTCCCTGATGGGCAGAATGTTGAGTCCTTTAGTGGTTCCGGTCTCGAACTGGTTCCGGTAGTAGGAATCCTCCTTGAGGTAGCGGCCCACGGCGTCGAGGTCAATGTGGATGATGATCGGGGCGTCCCACAGCACCCACTCGAATATCTGCTCCAGCCCGTCGATGATCTGCAGCCTCTCGCACCTCTCGCGCAGCTTGGCCAGCGCCCGCCTGTGGAGGTCCTCTGCGGAGCCCCTCACGCGTTTGAGCGCGTTCCGCTGGCAGCCGTGCAGTGACTTCATGACCTTCGGGTGCGCTCCAAGAGTGGGAGGTCAGGAAGAGGTTGGGGTACGTACGCATCGTGACCCGAGGCACGTGCGCAAACGAGGACAAAAGGAAGGGGCAGGAGAGCCCAGTCGGGAGAAGTCGAATTGGCAGAAATCGGCAGGCTGGTGGGCCTCGATTGAAGAATCGGCATCAACGTCGGAATCCGAAGTCGAACCGAATCGGAATCGGAGGCCATCGCAATCGAGTCGAATCGACTCGGAGGAATCGAAATGAGCCCTGGATGGGGGGGGCAGGAAGTCTGGGAGATCTCCATGGCCCCGGCCCTGCTATCCCTCTTCGACGCCGGGTGGCTGGCTTCCGGGGCAACAACGTGGGCCTCTGGCGGCCGCTTGGGTTTGGGGCGCTCCCGGCGCCCCCAGAAGAAGAGCTCCCGAAGAGGCGCAGCTGCTGGAAAGCATCCCGAGGCGAGAAGACCGTCAAAAGCCGACGAGGACGGAAATTTCCCTCCTCCCCCCGAGGAGGAGGAGGAGGAGGAGGAGGAGGAGGACTGACTGACTATGCCTTGGACTCAACGTGTCGTCTGCTACTAAAACATACTAGCATCGCTATGGGTCTAGCTTGGGCTAAACCCTTCAGTCTCACGTGCGCGGATGCCACGGAGCATACAAGCACTGCACGCGCCCCACTCCCGCACTTGGCCAGCTCGGGGCGCGCGTGCACTTGGACAAAATCGGTACGCTCTACTTTCCGCGACTGTGGCGCCCAATCCGGGTTAAATGTGTAACCCGATTCCGGGCCAGAACGGAGTGCTGCCGCAAGCGCTTTGGCTCAAGACCCGAGGGGAGAAAAGTCAGACTCCCTCCACACGCCCTGACTGGCTGAGAAGATTATGCCCCCTGCCCTTCCCTGGCGCTCGGGGGGTCTCGGGACGCGAGGTGAGGAGGTTGGAGTCGAGGGAGGACTGAGGGACTGGAACAGGCAAGCTAGGCTCCAGCGGGCCCGGCAGGCGGCCAGCGGCTGCTAGCTCTGCTTATCGCCTACTATCTCTGAAAGCCGTCGGTGCCTCACTCGGGGCTCGATGTGAGTTTAGCTACGGTATGTAGCCCCCCGCGACGTCTGCACCCTCGGGACTGGTTCACCGATCAGCTCCAGCTCTACTTCACGGTCGAATGCACCAAGCTCTTCAGCTCGCGCTGGAGTGGACCGCGCGGCGCCGAGCCCAGTTTCCTCTGGGCCCCCTTCTTCCTGAGCTCCCCGAGCAGGATGTCGCGAATCATTATTGGAGCCCTCGTTCACGAGCGTCGAGAGGCCCTTGATCGCGGCCGCCGCGATGACCAGGCGCGGTGGTCCGAGCGAACCTGCGTCGACCTGGCTGTCGACCGCGTGCTTCTCCTTGAGTTCCTTGCCGTCCGCGTCGTATTTCTGGCCCGCCTCGACCGCGAACTCCGCCAGCGGCTTGCTGGCCTCAAGCCCCAACGCCCCGTACACTGCTGCATGCAGATCTTGCGCGCCTTTGGCGACGATCATGGTCAGCTTGGCTGTAGCGATCGCGATCTGTTCCACGCGATCAGCATCTCTGCCCTGGCCTTTGCCAGCGCCCTTGCCGCCCGTTGGGGTCGGCGTCCGCCTCCGCCAGCGCGCGTTTGCCAGCCCACGTCGGCCCCTTGGCGAACGGGCCCTCGACCTGCATGGAGGCCTGGGCCTCGCCCGCCGCCGCCGCCATCCGCAGGTCTGTCGGGCGCTGCGTCGACGTCGGCTCTGGGGGGGGCCCAGCCCCTGATCTAAGCGCCGGCGTCGGCGGCTGCGAAACGGCCATGGGGAAGTGGCCGCGGAGGCGTTGGAAGAACCTTGATCTGTCTGTGTCGGCATAGCCACATATCGCACATAGAAGGTGAAATTCCCCCGCTGGCTTCATCGCGCGACCCCGATCCATGGGGCATCGCCCCTTCAAGAAGGCCCGCCGCAAACGTCGTGCAGCTGTGATCGTTCCCCCGAAGATCGCAATGCAATTCATACATTCGTCATTGGGGGGTCCGAAGGGAAGCGAGATTGCTCAACGTGCGCCCGTGCCTCACGTGAGCAATCAGGGCCTTGCCAGAGCTGAAGACTATGCCGCATATCGCACCATCGGGCTGCGTCGCCGTCGTCAAAACCAGCTCCCCCTCCTCCCCGCCCCCCTGGTAGCATCAAGGGCAGGCGCCTCGTCCAAGATCTCGCATCTCCACGGTGCAAGCTCTAACAGCACCGCCCCCTCCTCCTCCAAATCCGCCGCGGCTGCTGCGGGGCCCACCGAGAGCCCAGGCGGCGGGGTCGCGCGCGCTCGGCAGGCTCGTCGGAGCTCATTGGGGCCCAAGGCGCGAAGTGCCTCCTGGAAGTCGGGCTCGAAGAAATTACCTGGTTCGATGTCTAGGTCCCGAAGGTCACGGGTAAAGCTCTCCGCGAGACTCGCCACCTCTAGGTCTTTAATGATACGTTTAGCCCATTCGTTACACAGTGGGTACAACGCACCGTCTTCACAGATAGTGGGCACGGTCTGCAGCTCCAGTTGCCCGAAGATGGCTGCAAGCAGGCGTTGGCGCCGCATCGGGTTCAGGAGCGCCTTGCGAATCCACGAGACTCGTCGGACGATGGCCTACATATGCAGCAGCAGAACGCGCCGGTATCTCAGTACCTCGTAGCTGGTGAGGCTCCTTGTCGACCCGTCTGGCAAGCGTTTCGTAGCTTGCCCCCTTTCATAGCTTTCCTAGCTCGGCCCATCACTGCCATGGCAAGCTCTCGACACTCTGACTTCGCGGGAAAAAAACTCAATGCAACTGAGGCCTGCGTTTACCACCTTTCATATTAACACCGAGCGCTTCAACTTGAAAGGGACTACCATTTTGCACCAGAATCCACCCATCTCCCCAAATGCCCGCATAATCTCATGCACTCGTTGATTTAGCCCTCCACCCAAAGCTGTTCGCCGCGTTAAGGTGGGGGCCGGCATATCTAGCAGACTGTGCTGCGCGCCCTGGAAGACTGCGCTGTCGGGCCCGAAGTGGTCGATACTGCGCTGTCGATCCCTGCCCGTGCATCCGTACCAAACTCTCCTAATCATCCCGGTTCCGAGACAAATCGAACTTGCGAAATCACTCATCAAGCATCTTGTCTGCCAGCCTCGCCTGCCCCGCAAGACCCGCTTCTGGGTGGGGGGAGGTGCTGGCTATGATCTTCTGGAGGTCATCTGCATATTTGTAGAGGTCCAGATGTTGCGGCTATTCAAAGAACGGGCAGCGGGACTTAGAGCACCTAGTCACACGGGAGGCGAGTCAAACAATCCTGCTTCCACTAATCTACTAGGCGCGCGAACATTACAACGAAACTGTAGACCATGTAGGGGGGGGGCCCCCCCCCCCCCCCCCCCGCGAGCACCGCGCACCCTGGCCGCATCAGTAATGGGTCCAGTTGGTCGCGGCAGGGCACCGCGAAGGCGCATTTTCGGCACCTCTGTTCCCCGATCCCCCACTGGTCACGAAGAAGAAGTTCCTGGGTGGCCACGCCCATACTGAGCCAGCGTCCGCTGGCAAAGGCAGTGGTCATATCCTGGAACACCACCGCATACGATACCCCCGCCCTATTCAATCAACAATGTGTGATCCTACTGGACATGATCGCACCCTCGCGCCTCCTCCCCTCCACAAAACCGCAATCCTCGCCCCTTCCGCGGTTGAGCCCCTCCCTTGACCATTTGTGTCGCGTAAAAACACATTCCCAAGGGATCCAAAACGTGATAAATCCGTTTGCCCCGAGGCCCCGTCTTGTTGTTTTTCCGCACCGCCGTTGCATCGCTGATGTGCCAGTCTGCTGGGGCATGGGGGGCGCGGATATGTCGGAATGCCTGTCCGAGCTCAACTCGGAAGCTCCTGGGGACGACGCGGGGTCGCCATGCTCCTGCTCCTCCTCTGTCCTGGACCTCTGGGGACTTGGTGAGCAACATCCCCCACGCCTCTGCCGGGGCCGTTCCTGACGGGTGGGCCCTGCGGAGCTTCGTCCAGGAAAACCTGCGAACAATCATATGCATGTCTTGCTGGACGAGATCAATTGCCTCGTTGGGGGTCGCAACATCGGGTGGGCGGGCCAGTCTACGCGACTCCTCTCTCAAGCTCTCTCTCGTCGTCGTGCTAGCCTCCATCCCTCCTTGACCGCCTGGCAGCCTCCAGAACTCCCCCCACTCCTGTCGCGTCGGCATACTGGTAGCCACGCCACGGTAGCTTCTGCGACATGGTCCGAGTTGCGCCCCCGCCAGTAACCTGTTCAGGCGGCCCACCTCCGCTGAGCCCCTCCTGCTCCAACCCCCCCACAACTCCTCCATCCGTTCCGTTCCTATTCTCCTCTGCGCCTCTCTCCTCATACGAGCACACTTTACCGTCAATGCTTGCAGGCGGGACGCGATGTTGTTCATCTACTGTTCCGTCCCCTGTCCCTGCTGCTCCCGAAGGCCCCGTCGTTTTGCAAGCACAGCTAGCCTATCCTGCATGGGGTTGGTGGTATAGGTCAGTACGCCCCGCCCCATCGCTGAAGTGTTTGGCAGATACTCGTCGGTCGATCTCAATGATCGCCCCACCCGTACTTGTACAGTCGCCCTGGGTTCGGATCTCGCGGAGAGGCCCTCCCTCCTGGCGACTTCCTCCTCCGCCTCCTCCACGAATTCAGCCCTACCCACATTATGTATGATTCCTGCTACCAATGCATGACGGTCCCACGGGATTCGCTGTTGCTGGCGGTGTCCGTAAACCCTCGGCGTTGCAATCGTAATATGAGTAGGTACGTGGCCCCTAAGCTCTCGAAAGATGACCTGTAATATTCTGCCGATCCTGCAAAAGGGGAGGTCCCCATCGTCTGGACGCATTGCCTCCACTCCTGTCGGATGAGGAGGTAGTGAATATGGGATGTGTTGCTCTCCCCGAAGAAGGTCCGCCGCCATCGATCGTGTGTACATGCTGCATATAGGTGGCGCTTTTTCCGCCAACTCCCGCAAGCGTTGGCCCGCCCCGCCTGGAAGGCGTTCTTGGGCCCCGCCTGGGCCCACGGCCCAAGTGTGGATTGCGTCCCCCTTGGCGGTGCGGACCAAGCCGTCGTTGACATCTCAGCCCATGATGACTGCCGTGGTGGGTCCCGCCTTCGACACTTGGAGGTCGACCCATTCCGTGAGTGATCGCACGATGCGTAGGTACTGCCGTCGTTTCGCTGTGGTTCGGGGTTGGGGAGTGTAGCAGTTGCAGATTTACATCACCCTCTGTCCACCTGGCTGTACTGTAACCGATAGACCCCTACCATGTAATTCATCGGGCGGCGCAGCCGTATCGATGAGTAAAGCATGTTTCCACTTGCCCCTCCATACGACCACACCCCGCCAATGTGTTGCTGAACGCTGCTCCCTCCGCCATCCGCTCTCTACATACCTTCACATGCTCCCCTCCTTCCGAAGTGATGTAGCCCATCTGCTCTGTGGCTCCTGGGGGCATGCGACGCGTAGAACCCGCCAGTCCGATGACGTCGAAATTACAACACTCCTCTGAGATGTCATGCGACCTGTCTGCGGCACAGTGCATGGGATTGTAGAACAGAACTGCAAGCGAGCACATCCGAGCCGCACGTGTGATGACGTAGTGCGGGCATGTGAACATGTGTCAAGGGAAAGAGTGAGTAGCTTCCCGAAATTATGTGAGCCACCCGATCACCATTTGACCTCGCGGCGGCTTCGGAGGAGGAGGGGGAGGAGGAGGAAGAGGAGGAGGGGAAAAAAGCTGAGGAGGACGACGCCGAGGAGGACGAGGGGCAGGGAGAGGATGCAGAGGGACGCCCCCGATGGGTCCTCTCCGCCTTCTTGGAGACCCCGAGCAGATACTGAGCGCCCGAGACGAAGGCGCGCGCCCGACCCTCTCTCACCCCCCCTCTTGGCCCGCCCCCAGGCAGCCTGGCACTCCCAGGGAGGCAACTGCTCGGCCTGGTGCCACGACGCGGGATCGCCGCTCCTCAAGATGCCGAGGCCGAGCAGGGCCGCGGTAAGGTCGCGGTCCTCGACGACGTTCCGCCTGTCCACGACCACAGGGCTCTTCGAGATCCCCTCCTCGTCACAGCGGCCATCGAGCTTGACTGTCACTGTGAACTTTTCATCCTCCGGCCCCCGCTTGCCATGGGAGGGCGACAGTGCGTGCCAGCGTTCGGCCGTCCCTCTCCCCCCCCCCCGTTTCGAAGGGGGGGGGCGCACGGGTGGGACAGGGCCGCATGGGGAGCTCAGAGGAAGATCGCTCTGGACAAAACCAGCCTCGAGCTGGGCTCGCTCCCTGACCCCACCGTGGGCTGACTCTCGAGGGGCAACGATGAGAGAGGGGACTGGCTCACGGGTGGGACCATCGACCCTGGAACCGGGGATCTATCGCCGACGGATCGCAGAAAGTGACGGGGCCCTGGGACACACAGATACATACACACAGATAACAGGATTCCCCATATCTTCCCATATTTTTCTGGGTTTTTGTCTTCCCCCTTCACTTCCCATATTTTCCTATATTTTCCTGGGAGTAGACGATTAATTGTGTCTGTGGAGTGGAGGATTAATTTCCCAGATTGTCCCATATTTTCCCATATGTTCCCATATTTTCCCATATGTTCCTATATTTTCCTGGGACTGAGGATTCATTGTGTCTGTGTGTTTCTTTCCCTCCTGAGATATAGGCCCCCGACAGCGAAGCCGCCCGCTCTCCCGGGCGGGGTGGGCCATCCGGCCCCCCCCTTATCGACGAGGCATGGGCGAGCGGGGGTCGACCTCCGCCGCCTCCTCCTCCTCCTCCTCCTCCTTCTCCTCCTCCTCCTCCTCCTCCTCCTCCTCCCTCCTCCTGCCTCCTCCTCCTCCTCCTCCTCCTCCTCCTCCTCCTCCTCCTCCTCCTCCTCCTCCTCCCCCTAATTGAGCCTATGTCCCCCTCAACGCTGCCCCTGACCTCGACATACCCCCGACGGTTCTTGGGTGAGACCCAAGAGGGGGTCCAGCTGGGGGTGGTGCGGTAGATTTGGGGCATTTGTATTGCAAATGTGCTGCGCCAGAGAACTGGATTGCATTGCATTGCCAGTAATGCAATGCACGCGAAAGTCCAGCAATACATTTGCGCCCCAGAATGCATTGCACGCCCACAATGTATTGCAACCTGACAAATCTATTGCGCCAAATCTATTGCACCACCCCCTTGTCGCTGGACCCCCTTTTGGGTCAACACGAGGTTCCCACTCTCGGGGGCTCGCGATCCCGCTGGACGGAGGCGGACCCTGCGGGGCGGGGACGCGTGCGCACATCCACCGCCCGCGGAGCGACGACGTCCTGGGACCCTGGCGGGCGGTGGATCGAAGGTCGGGGGGTGCGATCGCGGTGATCGGGGATCTACTGACCATGGTGGGCTTGTTCACCACCACCACCACCACCACCACCACCACCACCACCATAAGTAGGAGGGGGAGGGGGTCCTCCTCCTCCTCCTCCTCCTCCTCCTCCTCCTCCTCCTCCTCCTCCTCAGCCCATCCGACCAGGGTCAATCCAAGCCCGGGTCAGTCAGGCCTTGCAGGATCCTGCAAGATCCTGAAAGATCCTGCAAGATTCTGCGCCCTAACCCAGGTTAATGTGCCCCTGGCTCTGCAGGATCCTGCACAGTCTGGCGCTCTGGCTAACCCTGGTTGCACCGAGCCACGTTTCTCGAGCCCCGAGGTGAAAAGGAGAGCCACCCTCCGGGAAATCCATTTCGATGTCGTGTTCGTGTCGCGCGTGCGGGCGAGGCGAAGCTGCGTGGGCGGGCGCGAGGAATGAACCCGCCGCTGCTGGAGCAAAACCAGGCTCAATGATTCCCCTCCCCCAAATGGCCAGCGGTTGCTCGGGGGTGTCCCGCCAATATCCTGTGGTGTCCCGTGGTGTCCCTTGGTGTCCCATGGTGTCCCGTGATGCCCCGTGGCGCGGTGTCCCGTGGTGTCCTATGGTGTTTCGTGGTGTCCCATGGCGCGGTGTCCCGTGGTGTCCCGTGATGTCCTGTAAGGTCGAGAATGAGATCGATGGTGTGTTCGATCGTGAGATCGGTAATGAGATCGATAGACAAATCGATCGTGTGATCGATAGATTATGAGATCGATAGAAATGAGGGAGATCTATAGTGAGATCGCTAGGTAGGTAGAGAATGAGATCGATAGATAAATGGCCAAACAGGTGCTCCGTGGTGCCCAACTCGTTTACGCCGAATCCGATCCCAACCACGATCGCACACCGAAAGCTGAGCTCTCCCCAAACAACCTCCCCGATAAGAACCACCCCGACACGCGAAGCCGTTTAGTAAACGCATCTAAAGAAGGAATCAAACAGGGAAGGGCTGTTTAGTAAACGCCCAAAGCTGTTTAGTAAACGACAATTGTCCGGTCCGGGTGTTTTTTCTCCACTGATCACCCGAAGGGTGGTCGTATAGGGATGGGTATACGGTCGGACATAGGACAGAAGAATATCCTTCAAGAGCATAAGACCCTCCGCTGCCGAAACCACACAGAACATCCAAGGGGACCCTCCTCAGGATGCACAAAAGCATCACATAAACACCAAGAGCATTAGGAGACCCTCCCCGAACCGACCGTATAGGTATGGGTATACAGTGGAGGCCCGTCCACAAGAGAAACCTTCCAAAAGAAACCTAACCCTGAGACCAGAGGACGTCCATGGATTTTTGGTGTGGGAACGTCACACTTTCCATCGTCAAACCATCAAAACCCAAGAAACCCAGGGCACCCTAGAGTAGAAAAAGAAGTAGAAAGCACATAACCATAAACTTTTGGCGCTCCGCGCGGATTTCTTGGACTCGCGCTGGATCCCCCTTCCTGGCGCGCGGAGCGCGCCAGGGGCGGCGCCGGAGGCGCCGCCCGGGGGCCCAGGCGCGGATCCCAGAAATCCGCGCGGAGCACCAAAAAATTATGTTTACGTGGTTTGTTCTTCTTCGATGGAGGCAAGCCGGGTGTTTCTTGGCATGAACCCCCACTGTATAGCTGAGCCCCAGAACATGCCCGAAGATATCATGTCCACCGCATGTCCGGGGCTCCGAAGATCGATCCTCCAGGAGGTGGCCTGTGAGGAAATCCCAGCCCCTCGAAGACCGATTGGGGGGGTCCCTGGGAGGACGAGCTCGTCAACACTCTGGCCCCTGAGATGGAAGTCGAGCATATGTGCAGGCCCACCTCCCTCCAAGCAAAACCGCCGAGTGCTGCCATGGCGTTCGCCGCAGCTGTTAGTCGGGGCGTGCTTGGCGCTCGCATTCCGCTCGCGTTCGCCCGGTCGACGCGCATTTGGCGCGTTGGCTGGGGAGTGGCGCGCATTTCGCGCGTCGACTGCCTCGCCGTTTGGAGGACACCTCCCTCCTCCTCTCCCGCTCTCCACCCCCGTCCTCTGATTGTTACCCTCCTTCCGGGGAGGGGAGAGAAGGAGGAATGAAGTGGATCTATTCATCCAGACATGCATCGTCCTGAAAAATCAAGACGGAGGCGGTTCACAAATTTCTGCCTCTGGGGGCCCTTACCAAGCCCCAGGACCGTCAAAAAACGACCCGGGATGGAAAAACAGCCCTGGGGAATGGATCGGGGCTTGAGGGGACCATGCGCTTACAAAATCAAGAAATCTTTCCTCGAGAAAGAGGCCCGCAACGCTACCCGCCGGGCCGATGAGGCCCCAGGAAACTTATACCCATAATGGCTCCAACGCGGCCCAAGATGGCCCAAGATGGCAAGATGGTCCCGCCCTGGTTGGCCCCAAGACAGGCAAGCGGAGCTTTCCTTGCAGGACTCCG